GATAATTATCCAAATGTAGGAATATGGACGTGCAATCTTTGAAGGTGAGTGCCGTCGTTAAGGCACATCCACTCAAGTATCCCCACAATGTTTAACCTCATGAGAAACCCATAATGGCGTCGACGTGATCTCAGTTGCGTGCGTGCGCGTGTGTGTGTGCGCGCGTGGTGCGCGTGTGTGTGCAGCCGGTGAGTGTGTGTGTGTGTGTGTGTGTGTGTGTGTGTGTGTGGTGTGTGTGTGTGTGTGTGTGTAGTGTGTGTGTGTGCCGTGTGTAGTGTGTGTGCGCGCCGCAGTGCTGTACTCGTAAGGCGGACTGGCCAAAACTCCCTATAGAGCGCATCGGGTTGTGCTGAAACTGTTATCAAATCAATGTTCTTGGCGTGTCCGGCGTCATGGCAGGACGCGGTTAATCTGCCCTCAGCGACTAGATTGAACAAACACGACCGACACACTTACAACGCGCGCACGAACTCTCCCTCTCTCTCTCTTTCTCACACACACACATGCGGCGGCAGTACACAGAACACATACACCACGCGCGGCGCGCACACACACACTCACGTTTCGCACATACACGCGCCACGCAACACTCGCACCACACACACACACACCACACCACAAACACACACACACACAACAGCACACAGCACACACACAGCACAAACACACGCCGACGGCACACCTGGTCGGTGCGTTTTGTCAGGGATGCCTATAAGATCCAGCACGAGATTACTAACTGTCGACTGAGCCATGGTATTGTCGGCGAGCTGCTGCTTCGATGGAACTTTCACGCATCGCTGCGTGGCTAGCGCGCCGACGCCAGCCATTATTTGCGACTCACCGGCGCGCTGCACGCTGTTTCTCGCTACAGTTAATCTGTACGGGAAGCAGACACATCTATGTCTCTCCTCAGCTGGTGCTATATGTTGTGAGAGAAAGTTGAGGAAAGCGGTTATGCTGCGTACTGCGTAGCAGCGCGGGGTCCGGTACTGCTGGTACGGTTGGGCGCCGCCCGCTACTACATCGTACCGGAGCGACGCAGGGCCTAACGTTCCGCGGTAATTCTTATCAGCGATTTACGTCATGCCATGAGCCCCTATATATAAAGCGGCGCGCGGTCATTTTCACGCTCGGATATATATATGATATATATATATCTCGTATTTCGTTCAATGGTATTTCGGCGTGATGGTATTCCGTCGTATTTCGTTCAATGGTATTTCGGCGTGATGGTATTTCGTCGTATTTCGTTCAATGGTATTTCGGCGTGATGGCATTTCGTCGTATTTCGTTCAATGGTATTACGGCTTACAAGTACAGACTTAATTCGGTCAGGATATGTAATTCTCGTTTCAGAGGCGTGCGAACAGCTTTTGGGTTTGCACAATTATTTTCTCATCACTTTCCTCGGCATGTTCGCATCACGCTGCATCGTCTATTCTCTACCTGTAACGAGCAGTGATCAGCCATCACTCACAGCGCGCGTGTAAGCCGACAGCATCACTGGAACGGTGCCACATCGAACCAACCTTCCCACCTGGTAAAAATCGCATTATTGCGAGAGCTACAGTTTACGTGGAAAAACCTCTACGCTGCAGGCAAACATTTGAACGGTTGTTATAAAATCACACAGCCTCTGAATGTTTGCAGCGAAATTCCAGCTGTTGCAACAAGAAACTGTTGCCACAGTCGCGTCTTTGCATTCTGGCAATCACATTCCACAACCGTAATTTTTCGCTCATATTATATTAGAATCATATTCAAACGCAACGCGTAGCCGGAATAACGCGTTTGCGCCAATGTCTACGCGCGTATGTCTACGCCGTTGAAATCAAACGACACAGCATCACGCTTTCATCGGGTGCTGTAGTAATAATTCCGTCGAGTGGTAACCGCAAACGACAAGCTATAATCCATCAACATTTGTCGCACGCAACCAGCGACCTAGCGTTTATAGTTGCTCAGCGAGCAGGAAGACGAGAGGGGGGCACCTACTGCCGCTAGCACCTCGACTCGGCTCCGTGACCCAGTAATGCCGCGGAAGTAATTATAGCCTGCCAAGCAGGTCACGCCTTGTTATAAAACCATTCAGCAGCGCGTCTGCTCAGACATTTTGTGATCTAGATTCGTCGCCGCAGCGTGCAACGCTCCTCGTGCCCCGGCGGCGCTCCGTTACCTCTTTCGTCTCGACGCGTCCTTGTGTAGCTGAGGCAGACATACAAGAACATACGCGAGAGAGAACGATAGAAGATCGAAGAGAGAGAGAGCGAGAGAGAGAGAGAGAGAGAGAGAGAGAGAGAGAGGGAGAGAGAGAGAGAGAGAGAGAGAGAGAGAGAGGGGGGGAGAGATGGAAGGGGAGAGAGAGAGGG